GCAACACTCCATCAGCTGCAGACATATGCAGGACACATGGATGGAAGGGTATGTCTGTCTGTGTCTCTTTATGGTGTGTCTTTGTGTTGTGTAGACTTGTCGTCTGCCAAGGAGGAACTCGAGAAGCCATGCGACAAGAAATGTACGCAAGACAGCCAGACAGACAGACGGACTCTGCTGTCCATGTGCTCTCACTGCTTGTGTCTCGATACACACACTCACATCGACATGTCTATCTGCCTGTCTGTGTGTCTGTCTGTCTGTGTGCAGCCGAGGCGTCTGCGATATCTGTGTCGTTGTCATCGGTCGAGAGCGGCCGTCGCCCGCCGCCTTTGTGCCCCATGAGCAGACTCGGCAAAGTCAGACTCCTCGCCAACCCAGACACCACACGAAGACACATCGATGTCAGTCAGTCGATCAGACACACAATATAATAAGGCAAACAGAGGGAGGACAGATCAGATTGTGAGTGCAGGTCAGTGCCGAGCTGCGTGACGGCGAGTTCGCTTTGTATCGACGCAAAGAGCCGGTCGTCAGATACCAAACCGGCATCATCAACATGCCCATCCAGGTCATCGCACACCCACACACAGATGGACAGACAGAGCTCTGTCCATCTGTGTCTGTGTGTCAGAGTTTGCCCGACACGCACAAGTGTTTCGAGATCGATTACATGGGCGAGAGGCAGGGAATCTGCACACACGACACAGGAAGCGTACAAAAACACACAAACACACACAAACACACACAAACACACACACACACACACAAATGCATGTCTAAAGTGGACACATCGATGTGTGTGTGCTGGTCATTCATGTGTCAATCAGCGCGACGCGTGGATGGATGCGCTGACTGAGGCGTGGGCGTGTGAAAACTATGGCATCGTCGCAATTCTGTCGTCAGTCGACGCAGCCAAGACAGGCAACCAATGCAGCCCAGCACACATGACACACAGCGCATGGCTGGCTGTGTGTGTGTCAGAGGAAGCCAAGTTGGAGAGCGCTGGTAACAAGACGGTATCGGCCGCCATTCCCGAGGAGACCATCCAACACAAACAGCAAAAGGCATCATACTCCACTCCCACACGCCAACACACCACAGAGAGAGACACGTGTCTCATGCAGGTATGTGTGCCTCTCTGTGTGTCTGTCTTGTCAGAGTGCGCTCAACGTGCGTGTGGAGGCTGACGAGGAGGGAAAACCCAAAGTGACCGTCGGGGCGCTGCCGACACACAAACCACAGCAACCAGCAGCAGCAGCAGCAGCCATGGCAGTGCGATGAGTCAGTGAGTGAGTCGGCAGCAGCCAGCGACAAACAGAGACAGACAGACAGACAGACGGACTGGAACACTAAAATGAGTGGATACGATGAGTGAGTGTCTCCATCGACGGGCCGGCGTCTCATGAACAGCTGAAGTCAGACAAAGAAATTAAGTGCTCTGATCTGTTCCATCTACAGTCCCCATCGATATATATTGACTGTCCGTCAGTGTCCGACCAGCGTTCATACGTTTGAGCAGGATTGGTGCCTGGGCACCAATCGCCCACATAGTGTCAGGAAAAGACAAGGCAGACCATCGTGCAGTATGTCACTGATCGAAATGAGACCAAGCAAATGCCCCGCGTCTCCCGCACGTACTCACCTTTTGCCCTTCCCCCGACCCCTCCCCACCTTACCCTCCCCGTCGCCCACACCCGCCAGACCCAACTCTACTGTCTTCATCGGCTTCATCGCAACAGGCGCCCCCTCTTGACCAGCCGGCACAACTGCCGGCCCGGCTCCTGCCCCTGCCGCTGCGGCGGGAGCACCTGCTTCTGCTGCTGATGGTGGTGGATGTGCTGGCTCCTCCTCTGCCTTGGGCCGGGCAGCCGGTGGGGCAGTGGGTCGTGTTCTCGCGGCTCCCTTGCTCTTAGGTCTTGCCGCCTCCTTGGCACCTGGGCGGGCACCGCCCGACGACTTGGGCCGCGACGCGGCCGCTGAAGGGAAGAAGAGACGAGACCGATCCTGAGATCCTTTGAATCTGTCGCTTCGTTTATGTGCTTCAAGTGGACCTGCCGCTGTTGCAGCGGCTGCAGCCGCTTGTTCCTCCTCCTGTTTGCGCGCAGCGACGGACGCCACGAAGGTGTCCAGGTTTTTCTGTCGACAGCAAGACATGACCGACGTGGTGTATGTGTAGTTGGGAGGCATCTGCGTGCTCTCACTTGTGCAGCGAGCATGAGCTGCTGTGATCCGTCTCTGGACCGCTCCGCCGAGAGGATGTCCTCCTTCAACAGCGCCATTTCTCCCTGTGCCTGCTCCTCAAATGCCTTCAAACCGTTCTCGGCACGCATCATAATCCCCTGCTGCACTCACAGAACACAACACGCAACACACAACACAAAACAGGCGGTGTCGGGAGAAGATGTGTCGCAGACTGACCTGTTTGACGCACTGCTGCTTGAGGCTGCCGAGCCGGTCCTCCATGATGCGCTTCTCCTGCTCCATCTCGGCCTTGAGCTGACGGAAGAAGAAATGATGGGCGCATGATGCATCCATAGCTGGTTCTGTCAGGGTGGAGCACCTGTCTGATGCTGGTGTCGACTTCGTGGATCTCCTGCTCAGTTATTTGTTTCTGGCGCTGGAGCTCTGCCAACTGCATGGCCGTATAGAGGAGGCAGGCAGAGATCATGACGACAGGCTGAGACATCTTCTAGTGGTGTGTGTGTCGTTAACCTGAGCTTCCAGCTGCTTGACGCGCTCCTTCTCCAGCCTGACACACCGGCACGCCAGCCATCGCGGCACCTCTGTGTCTCTCTCAGGTACGTGAGGAGAGGTGCGCGTACACGAGTGTGTCTTCGAGGTCTCTTCTCGCCTTGACCTCCTCGACCTGACTCACCTCCTTCAGCCGCCTCACCTAAAACACAACACATACACACACCTGAGTCGTCTGACTGCTGTGATATGTAGTCAGTGTGTGTACCTCTGTCACTCTCTTCTGTGCCTCTTCGAGCATGGCCTCCTTCTCCTTGAGCGTCTCGATCTGCTGCCGATACACCTCGGGCAAACGGTCACGCTGCTGCTTCACATTGCGCTCCAGCGCCTTCCTATACACACCACAACACACCACAACACACAACGCAGCGCAAGACACAGCAGACACGGAGAGGCGTAACAGGATGGCCAGTTGTTGGTTGGTTGGTTTGTTGGTTGTTCACTTGATGGTCATGAGATATCTGAAGTCCATGGCATTGAGCTCCAGGACGATCTTGCGGAGTATGAAGTTGACCTGCAGCAGCTCAGCCAGCGCACGACCGCTGTCGTCACTGCATACACGCGTACGCAAAAAAAAAGAGACATGCGTGTACATACATGGCGTCCACCTGCCTGCCTGACATACCCCAAGTCGTTGTCTCGGAGGCTGAGAACCTCCATGCACGTGTTGCTCTGCAGCGCCTTTGCCAACGCACAGCCCCCCGCATCCTGGTGCAGCAGGGCAGCATGTCTGTGCCATGTCTCACCCGAGCGATCTCTGCCTACCTTAATTCTGTTGCCGCTGAGGTCGAGGGACTTCAGCGATGCATTAGACGATAACGCACCCGCGAGGGCTGAAAGAAGGCACAAAGACCTCTGCGTCCCTCACCCCTTTCTCTCTCCCTCTCTCCCTCTGTGTATGTGTCTGTCAGGCGCCTACCCATTGCTCCATCGTTCTCGAAAGCGCAATACCGCAGGTCGAGGCGCTCCAACGTTCTGACACATATCGTCAGGCGTGCTCTTCCGCTGTGTCTCCTCCCTCCCCCCCCTGAAGTGCTACTTGTTCTGCTGGAGTGCTTCAGCGAGTTCGGCCATGCCGCTGGCCATGAGGTTGGTGTACCCCAGGTTGAGAAAGCGGATGGTGGCATTGTCCCACAGCGCACGCAAAAACTCGTAGATCCGGGAGGCCTGGGACCCAGTGCCGCCGCCCAGGTCGTTCCTCTCAAGATTCAACTCCGTCAGGCTGCCCTTGCCATGCATCACACACATAAACAATGAGAAGCAAATGTCCACGAATGTCTCTATATGACATGCGCTCATACCATGGATGCCTTCTGGCCACGTCGTATAGCTTTGCGGCCACGCTGTGCGACAGACCATTTGAACTAATGTCGAGTTTCTGGAACAGAACAAAACATGAAGGGCACACATACATACGAGACATGCAGGAACGAGTGTAGTGTGCGGAGGTGACCTTGATAGGCGGCTTCTTCCCCTCACACGCCATAGCCTATCACAAGCAACAAATAAAGACACGCCGGACCTTTCACACACAGAATCCTATCCCTGAGCCTGACCCACCAGCAGTAGTGCCGTGGCGCCCTCATCCATGGCCTCATTGTCGCTCAGCAACAGAATCTCCAGCCCACTCCGCGGCAGCACACGTGCCAACGCCTCGAAGCCCGCTGGCCCCAGCATGTTCGAACTCAGGTCGAGGAATACCAGAGTGGTGTTGCCCTGCAGGCCCTCTGCGAGGTGGTTTGCGCCGTCGGGCCCGATGGTGTTGGACGAGAGGTTGAGGCGGGCCAGCGTGCGATTGGTCTGCAGTACGGCCTTGAGAGGCTCCGCGCCGATGGCGCCAATGTGATTGCGATGGAGGCCCGCTATGCTCGACAGATCCATTGACGTGAGGGTGCTATTACGCTGCAGGGCGCTGGGAAATGGGTGAAGAGACAGAGAGAGAGAGAGAGAGAGACGCGCTTTACTGGTGTGCGTGTGCGTGTCGTAGCGACAAGTGTGCGTGTCTCCTCACTTGAAGAGCGCCGATCCTCCCCTGTGTCCGATGTCGTTGCTGGAAACGTCAAGATGGGTCAGTCTCACGTTGCCCTCCAGCATCTGCCCCAGTATGGCCGCCCCCTCATCATGCAGCTGATTCTTTCCCACATCCAACGACTCAAACCCCTCAAACGCCTCAGCAGACCCCTCGGCAGCCACCGCCGTTTCGGTCTCTTCCGTTCCTTCCACAGCCGCCGCCTTCCTCCCCCCTCCCCTGCTGCGTGGCTTCCTGCCGTTAGAGCTCGGCAGCAGCAGGGCCAACGCAAGCGCCTTTGCGAACTCTGGCCCGCACCCTTGGTCTTTGAGCACGATGTGCGGGGTGCGCATGGCGCCGGCCAGCCCATCAGCAAACTTCCTCTTGCGGTCCTCTGTGACGGGGATGCGCAGGTCGGTGCACTTGGCCACAAAGAGGGCTGATATGAGTACGTCCGGGAGGTGGATCAGCTGGCTCAGGGACTGCCCGCCCTTGACTGTCCACTGCAACACACATACGGACAGAGAGAAGGTGGTGGGGCCGACCAGTGGGTGCATGGTGAACACACGCAGAGAGGCACATACGTGCTCAACGAATCCATTGAAACACCTGATGGACAAACAGTGATTGCAATGGTGATTCTTGTGTGCCTGATCTACCGGGCTGTCTGGTCTGCCTGGCTGACCTCATGAGTGTTTTCATCATGGCGGCCACATCGATAGGACTGTCCAGGAAAGAGCGCTCCGTCAGCGGCGCCTCCCCTTCCCTGTCCCCGCTGTGACGCGACGCTGCGCTTGGCGGCCTGGCTCTCACTGCCGCGGCCGCTAGAGCGCCGTGATACTCACTCTTTGCTCGTGGCCGTCTCTGTGCGGGCGGCGTGGCCATGGGGATTGGGACCTGATGCTCCACACACAGTTCATTTCATGAGAGACCGACAGACTCTGCCTGCCGCTGCGCTATGAGTTATGTATTCACCTGATGCTCCTGACTGTCTTCCTGCAGAACCACCTGACGCATTCCCTCACTCGTCCTGGCGAAAGTTGATGGCGACGCAGTGGCGTGGCGACCTGGACGCCGGGCATCCATCGTTAATGCAGCGGAGAAAAGATGGCGTCGTGACGGCTAAGCTCGCACCGGGGGCAGAGTTGGGGGGAAAGATGAAACGCGCAAAAGGTGCCTCCGCCACGCACCGCGCTAACACTTCGTAACATCTGGTGAGCGCTCTGTCGGAACATCTCCTCCGGGAATGTGATGCGCTCTGGTTGTTGTCTGCAGGTCTGCAGCGGTTCGGCACACGGCTTTAGATGGCATCGAATAGCAAGCAGAGGCCCACGCTGCGCACCTCTCAGAGCGCCTCGGACCTCCGTCCACATTGCCGTGCCCAGCCGCCCGTGCAGCGAGTTCCATCAGGCCATGGCTTCATCCACAGACCATCGAGGCCGCCGGCAGCCAAGGGTCCGAGCGCGATAAGAAAGAATGCACCAGCGGCGGATGGCGGGGTTGAGATACGCGCTGAGAATGACATGATTGAGTATTGTCCGATGGGTAGTTTCGAGGATCCGTCTGGGTACGCGGGTCTGGACATCTGTGATGGCGGGGTAGACGTGGCGGCGCTGCTGAGGGCGATTGAGGCGATGCCCTGGCAGGACAAGGGGAGCCCCACAGCCAAGGATAGGATGGTCGACGACGGGTGGGCAGAAGGGATACGTAAGGGACTAATAAGTGGTTCTTGCAGCATTTGAAATGAAATGGTCATTCTGTGTGGGTATGTATGCTGAGTTCAGGTTGGATGTGTCAACGTGCTCTCTGAGTCCCGCTTCGCCTCTATCCCCCACCGCCATCTCACCGCCCTTTTCGTCGTTGTTCGCCACACCACCCACCCCCCTCTCGCCCATATCGCCCCCCGCCCTGCCGGCCATCACACACGACGAGTCTATTCTCGATGTGACCTTCGAGCTGCCCCCTCCCATGGTATCAGCTGCCGACCAGCCGGCGGCGGCGTTTGTAGATCCTTCGGGGTATGGTGGTCTCGACCTCGACCTGTCGCCCTTTGGGATTGCGCAGCCGGCCATGGTCGGCGATGCGTCCGAGGGCGGCTGGCCGACGGGTGTGTATGAGGGGGGCCAGGCGGCCAGGCCGTCGCTGGGCGGGGCTGTAACCCCGGGGCCGGTGACGCCCGCGGCCAAGGGCACGCCCAAGTAGGACACAGCGAGCCAAACGGTCATCTCTTTTAGCTAATGCCGACATGATGCTGCTGGCATGCAGGTTTGGGCTGACCCCTATGGTTCCCTCCCTGACGCCGCCGCCTCAGGCAGCCTCCAGGCTGGGCGCGCAAGGCTTTCTCAAATCGCGCCTCCCATCCCTCGCACCCATGGCTGGCTGCTTCTCCCCAGCGCCGCCCTTCGCATCGCCCGCACCGCCGCATGTGGTCAACATGCGCAACCCGCTGGCATCCCCTTTCCCGACACCAGCATTCATGCGGCAGCCATACACGGGCGAGGGGGGGTGGGGCGAGGGGGCGCAGGAGGTGACTGAGGAGAGCACAGAGGCGTAGATTGAACAGTTGGTTGATGCGTTGATGTTTGCGCATGTGTGTATGTGCGTGAGGATGCATAGAGAGGAGAGGGTAGGTGACGCGTGAACAGATTGATGGGCATATCCACATTATTAAATGATGTATTGCTGGTTCCTCAGTCCAAACACAGAGTTTGGACCTGCTGCTGGAACGCTGCTCGTGCTCGGCAACCGCAACACCCAAACCGCCAGCGCAGCGGTTTCAGGCAGCACCCTAGGCGGCTTCCTTTCCGAGCTTGCAGATTTCAAGCAGGGAGTGTGTCGCTCTTTCATTGCTTTGGTGAATTAGCGCCTCGTGTACTCTGTTCCTCGTCGCTCGACTGACATAGACACACGGCAGCGCCATGCAGCTGGGCAGCCGTCCGATGAAAACTTTGTCCCTTCAGGAGGACTACAGCCCCTACCGCCGCGTGAGCCAGGCCACAGAGCAGACGCTCTCGTCGGAGGAGGAGGATGGTGACGAATTCGACATGATGGGCATGGGCATGGGTATGGACGGCGGACTCGGCATGGGTTTCGACCCGCATGAGCACCCCGAGCTGTTCATGGCCCTCCTGGACCCGCGGCAGCAGCTGCAGCTGCCGTTCGGCGCGGCGGCCAACTCCCCCGAGATGAAGGCGGCGCTGGTGCAGCACATGATTCAGAGCGCAGCACAGGCCAACGGCATGCACATGGGGTACAACGGCATGGGCATGGGGATGGCGGGGGTGCAAGGGCAGGGCATCAACATGGCCGGCATGATGGCACCCGAAGGCAGGACCAGGGAGAGAACCAACCACAGCAACCGAGGTGAGCTGAGGTAGCTAACACAGAACAGGAGGACGATTGACTTGTCTCCTTGTCGCGTCCAGGCGATACGGTAGGAGTTCCCAAGATGGTGACCAAGACGACCAGCGAGACAGAGGCCGGTGAGACGACTGACAACGACGCGGCCGGGGGCGGGGGTGCCAGTGACAGTAACAGTGGGATGGGGTCGGGGTCGGCCAACGGTGGCGGGTCTGCGGCGGCTGATTGCAACGCCAATGTGAGCTCGTCTTCATCCTCGGAGGGGCGGCCCAGCGGGGGCGTGTGTGCCGTCTGCCACAAGACCACCAACAAACGATGCGGCAAGTGCAAAAAGACCTTCTATTGCTCGCAGGTCGGCGGGCAGCCAGGCAAACAGGCAAACAAGACACGCCTTCATCCATTCAACGCACCCCACTGTTGTCTGTCTCTTCCTGTGTGCGTGTGTCTGTGTGTCTGTGTCTGTGCATGCAGACCTGTCAGAAGCGTCATGCGTCATCGCACCGCTTGACGTGTCACGAGTACCAGGCGCCGGCGCCCCCGACGCCGCCCGAGGAGCAGCAGGCGCCCCTGACATGGGCCGTCCTTGACGACCTGCTGCCGCCCAACGGTGGGCGGGGATGGGGCGACAGTGTCCAGCGGGACAGTGTGGAGACGTCCCTCATACTCAAGGTGGCCAGCCGGGTCACGCCGGGCTGCCACGCCTTCTTGGCCGAGGACGTCGCGGGCGAGAAGCGACTCATCACCTGGCACTTCGGTCGGTCCGTGGCGGCCACAAAACACAAGAGGGGATCCCAAGATGGATGGGCGGATGGATTGGTATCATGTGTACGTATGTCTGTGTGTGTGGTGAAGATATTGACGAGGATGTGTCTTATCCGTTCAACCTGTACGAGAACGCGTACGTGGCCTGGGTGCGGCCGCGGCCCTATCGCTACCTCGACGGCCGCAAGGGGGCCCGCATCACCTCCCACGACCACCCCTTCCTCGACCTCATCAAAAAATAAACACACTCACACCGACACAGACCGACAGACAGACAACACACACATACATTGACACATACATTGACACATTGATGCATGGATGGATGGATTGGCCCGTGTGAGTTGAGGGGATGGATGGATGCGGCTGGCTGGCTGGCTGGCTGTTTCGGCCCACCCCACCCGACCAGTGATATATATAAGCAGACAGACAGACAGACAGACAGCTGCGTCGTATCTGGATGGCTCATGGAAGAAGCATCGCTCAGCACCAGACAGGCAGACACACACACACACACGCACGCAGCCGTCGAGAGAGAGACAGAGACACAGAGGGAGGGTCACTGATAGAGGCGGGTACATGCCATGCCGCGAGATACGTTTGTATGTATTATAAGGCAAGATTGATGGGTGGATAAAGTGGAGAGTGGCTGCTGGGGTGGGTGAGAGCAGGGGACGAGTGCCCTGCCCGGATGGGTTGCGTTGGGTGACTGAATGTGCGTAGGAGTCGTCACGTCACTCATGCCGTCCTGGTGCCTGCTCTGCCTGTGCTGTGTGTGTGTGGTGTCGGTTTCAATCATTTGTGTGGATGGATGGATTCTTGCACACCCCACACGTGTGGTGTGCATGGTATGGCGTGGACGGCCGTGAGTGTGTGCAGTGCAGTGAATGCATTGCAGCCGTTTTCCCCTTCGTCGTGTTTTTTGCGCAGTGAGTGAGTGAGTGAAAGACTGACTGGCGGACAGGCCGACGGACAGAGGCAGGCAGGCAGGAAGGCACGGGCGTGGCCGGCCGTATGGGCGCACGTGCGTTTGTTTCCCGCGTGGATAATAATGTTCGTATGCGCGTGTGCGTGACTGGACGGGCAAGACACGTGACTAACTGACTGACCGACTGAATCGCTGCGACGAGAGAGAGAGACGCTGTGGTTGGGTGGCTGGTTGGTTACGAAACCCACACATTCATTGTGGCACACACAAAATACGCAGGCAACCCACACATTCATTGTGGCACACACAAAATACGCAGGCGGGGGGTCCGGTCCGTCGGGCGGGGCGGAGCGGTGTGAGGTCTGGTCTGGTCGGCTCTAGGCAGGCAGGCACCGCACCCACGCAGTCAGTCCATCAAGCCAAGCATGTAGTGGGTGGATGGATGCACACTCACACAGATCCACACCCACACACACACGCGCCAAGGCATACAGAGCGGAACAAGTAAGTAGGGGTATGAGAATGGACCACCACGCCCGTCTGGACCAACAGCCGCTGGGCGACACTTTCCCCGCCATCCGTCGAGCCAGATGGCCGGAAAGTGTCACACGGCAGGTGCCGGTGCACACACAGCGCGACACGCGAAACATCCGTGTGACATGATCCCATTCCTTCTTTGCTTTGTTCCTTGCTCCCGCGGGTCTGACCGATCCCTGCCTCCATCCCCCGCCTCCTGTCTCACCGCAAAAACGCTCTGTTGCTTCCTTCGCTCGGTCGGTTGATTGGTTGCATCCCATCGCCATCGGTATACACACACAGCCAGCCAGCCAGCCAGCCAGCCCAGCCGTCAGCCAAGGCAGTCAGACAGTCAATGATGATATATGGCAGCCAAGGGTCCCACCAAGGAAGCTAGCTGAGAGAGTAGGGTAAGAGAGTGAGTGGAAGCAGACAGAGAGAGAGACACATACATACACACACATATATGTGGCTGACAAATCCACGCAGCCACGACAAATAGACACGGACGCACACACACACTCTCACACACACACACACAGAGACAGACAGAGGAACCGACAGAGGGAGGGAGGAGACCCGCTTGCTGCTCGCTTGCCCTTTCCATCCCACCTTACCCCGCAAGCAGGCTCCCCCACCCCGCGCCCACACACCCAAACCCGCACGCACGCACGCAACCCGACCCTGGGTCGAATTACAGACGCTACGAGAACCAGCCAGCCAGCCAGCCAGCCAGCGATGCCATGCCATGCTCCCATTGCAATGCATTGGTCGATCGACACGACTGCGTGTGTGTGAAGGTATGCAGGGATGTTTGTTTGTATTTACAGACAGGTTGGGTGGTGGGCATGGATGGCATCATCACTCCGGTGACTGTTGTGTTGGTTGCTCGACGGACAGACAGACAGACGGACAGACAGACAGTGAGACAGACAGACAGATGAGATGTGCGAAGGTGGGGACAGCAGGACGGCAGGAGGGAGGGAGGGGGGGGTGTAGCAACGATCTACCTAGATGGGACGCGATCGATAGGATAGATACGAGAAAGACACACAAAGCAGAGAGAGAGAGAGGTGGACTGGACACACAGGCGCACACACATACAGACATACATACAGACAGACAGACAAGAAAGCCAGCTAGCTAGCAACTGTAAGACGCAGAGAAGAGAGAGACACGGCAGAGGAGTGAGTGAGTGAGTGAGTTAGTGGGTCGGTCAATCAGTGTAAGTCAGTCAGTGTGGGGAGGGCTGAAATTGTCGCCGCTACCCTTTGCAGCCAGACAAGACACACACACACACACACATATACCGACAGACATTCCCTAACTTACCCACAACTCCGCAACCTCCCCTCTCTGCTTGCTCATAGCCATCCATCCATTCTAGGCACACACACACATCCAGACGTACAAGCGGCCCTTCGTCGTGAGTGAGATAGGCAGATAGGCAGGCAGATAGCGAGTGGGCGGACGGAAACCAAAATGCCAAAACTGGCCACCTAACGAGACTCATAAAGCACTCTCTGGGACAGACACCACACAGACATCAATCAAAACCTCCCCAGCAGCCAGCCAGGCAGCCCTCCAGCCGAAGGCAGCAACGGACAGGCGCACACAGACACCGAGAGAGACAGACAGACAGACAGACAGAGACGGGAGGCACCCATATCACACACACACGTACGCGCACACGGTTGCGGTAGGTGTGTGTGAGTCTGGGTGGCCGATGCATGACATGCTCCGGCATGCAGAAAAACAGCTCCTAGCACATACACTACACGCATCGCATCAAGACATACAGCCAGCCAGCCGTGGGATGGCATGGGATGGCATGGGATGCATTGCACTGTGTGGCGTCGGATAGTCAGATAGATGGATGGACGGATGAATGGATGAATGGATGAAGGAATGTGTGCGCCAAAACGAGAATGGATGAATGGATGGATGGTGAGGTGAGCGACCGGCCGGCCGGCCGGTCAGCCAGCCAGTGCCAAAAACGACCTTAAAAGCAAGCAACCAATCAAGCAGTCAGGCATGCACAAGGAAGGAAGGGGGAGGGGCAAAAATACAACAGAACTCGCAATCGATCAGTCACTCACCCGCTCAGCTCAGCTCAGCTCAGCTCGGCCAGCCAGTCAGTCAGCTGGCCAGGGTCCATCCACGAGGCAGGCAGAGTGGTGTAAGTAATAATGCCAGCCGAAACAAGTAAGTGGTGTGTGTGTGTGTGTGTGTCAATCATTGTAGTAGGGGGCTGCAGTGCACTGCAGCTGATGCTTGTGTATAGAGAGAAGAGATACACACCCGTGTGTGGGTGGGGAGGTCGACGTCGATAAGGGTATGTATGTATGCATGCATGTGTGTGCTGTGCTGTGCTCTGCTGTGCTGTGCGATTGTGAGGTGAGCATGGATTGCTGTCTGTCTGTCTGTCTGCCTCTCTAGCGTAGCAAGTCAAATCAAGTCGTATCCCGTCTGTCTGTCGGTCGGTCAGCCTCCGTCTTGTCTGATGCGTGCCCATCCATCCATCCACTCACACATACATCCACACAATTCATCTGGCCTGCCTGCCATCCATCCATCCATCCATCCAGTCAGTGTGCGTGTGTCGTGTCAGGTAGAAGTGCATGCCTCTCTCTCCGTCCGTGGCCTGTGGCGAATGGCCTGTGGGCCTCATCCATCCATCCATGCATCCATCGAGACCGACCGACTGACAGTCAGTTCATTCATTCATTCGCTCCGATCTCATGGTCGTCTGTTCTCCCCCCGTGTCCAAATGACTCTTTCCCTTCCTAGGTGCACATAAGAAATCTGATGTGTGTGACTGATTGGTGTGGGGTGTAGTGTGGGTGGTGTGTGTGGTCTTGAAACAGCGACTGGTGGATGGATGCGTGGATGGATGGATACTGCCCCGACTGCCCTGACTTCCCGCCTTCGCGATGACTGCCGTCCCTCCCCTCCCTCCCTCCCTCCCTCCCGCCCCTCCTGCCTTCCCCCTCCCCAACATAGCCATCCATTCATGCATTCAGCAAGGGGTGGTAGATACCATATAGTCATGCATGCTCATGCGTGCGTGTGTGCATGGAGTCGAGTCGTACGAGTATTGATTCGATCAGCAACGATCAGCAACGACCAGCAAGGCATAGGCAAGGCAGGGCAAGGCAGGGCATAGCGGCAGGGGGGACAAACGGGGAGCGGAGCGAGCAAAGCGAGCGGAGCAAGGGAGTAGGGGGACAATTCCTTAAGGCAGGCAGGCAGGCAGGAACAAAAGGAAGGGGGATTACGCTTACGTATGCATACGTTCATACGTACATATACGTATACGCGTCCGTATACATCACGTGCGTGCATTGCAGCCGAAAAAGAGAAAAAGATGGGAAGAAGAAGCAAAGCAACAAGGACAAGGACAGGGAAAAGAATAGACGAGGACTCGACCGCCAGAAACACAAGACACCACAGCCGCCACGTATATATATGGTTGGAGTGGAAGTCAGTCACTCGCTCAGTCGGCGTCGCCCGTGTTGTTGTTCGTGGCGGTGGCGTTGGTGCCGTTGTCGGCCTCATTGGTCCGAGTGGTCACACTCTCCTCCTCGACCTCCATCTGGGTCGCATCCTCACTCTCAACCCCCATGCCACCAGACGACGACACTCCGTTCAGCAACGGCGCAGATGAGGCAGATGACGAAGCCGCAGCGGCAGCGGCAGCCGCTGCTGCTGGGGCTGGGGCTGGTGCAGCGACGGGGGCCGGTGCGGGTGCAGACGACGAGGCAGAGGCAGACGCAGAGGCAGACGCAGATGCGGGTGCAGAGCTGGACGTGGCGGCCTCTGGCTGCTGGGGAGTGGGTGGGCCGGGCTGGTTGACGTTGATGCTGGGGCTGGGTGCGGCCCCGTTGAGGTTGCTCGTGTCGTCGGTTGTGCCCTTGACCCCCGCACTGGCGTCGCCGTCAGAGTTGCTGCCTGACACACTCGGCTGGGGAGCCTCCAGCCCACCCTGTACACACGCGCGCAGCCAACCAGAGAGAGACACGTGTGTGTGTGTGTGTGTGTATGTGTGGGGTGAGAGGGGGTGGCTCACCTCAGCAGCAGCGCCGGCAGCTCCATTGGGGCCGTTCGGCAGTTGTGGGTTGGATGGGAGGAGCCCTTTGGCGGCGCCACCGGGGTCCATGCCGCCGATGAGACCCGCCAGAGACTTGGTCGAGCCGCTTCGGACAACCTGATCAGATACATACATCCATACGTCAGTCAAAGACATATATGTGGATCGATGGATGGCGGCTTTGTCTGTGTGTGTTGTGTGTACCCATGAGGCCACAACACTGATGTCGTCCATTTTGCCGCCCTGGTAGTGAGTGCCGTGCTGCAACACACACACACACACACAGAGGCGCATGCACAGGTGTGCGTGCGGTGTTGGGTGTGTTTCGGTGTGTGTCTACCTGTCTGGCATGTCTGGCGAATGGCGATTTGGCCTTGGCGTCCAGCGACCGGTGGTACGCTGCCTGGGCTATCGCGGCAGCCACATTCTAGACGCATGACAATGACATATCACACACACACACAGACGCCACATAGGTTTGTGTCTGCCTGACTTCATGCACGTGTGTGTGTGTGTGTGTGTGTCTCACTCACCTCGGGTGAGGTGATGAGTGAAGCGTTCTGGAGGAGCGATGCCTCGAAGGGCGACATAGTCAGGTTAGCCAACGCGCAGATCTCGTGGTCAAACAAATTGTCAAACACTCCTGCGCGAAACAACGCACAGACACACAGAAAGCAAGCGCATCAGTCAGCCACCTTGATATGGTATAGAGGCAAGTTGGTGTCAGGGAATGTGGGTGGGTTAGGTAGGTACCGTCGGTTCCCATGAGTATGAGGTCTCCCTCCTGCAGGGCCGTGGTATAGCCGTTGGCCATCGACGGCGTATCCTGCGGCAACAAACACGACTGCTTCAACACCCTACAAACACAACAAACACGTCACAGAGAGAGACTTGAGACCCTTGCCCGGATTCACTGGTACTGACTGAGTAGGTAGGTACCTGACGAGGGTCTGTTTTCCCTCGTTGAGAAGGTCGTCATAGTGCTCCGGCTGCGGCAGTCTTGACAGCTGGAACGGGCAGTTGAACGTGTGCTGCTGCTCCTTGGTGCGGAGCACACACGACATCTTGAAGAACCGCTGCCGACGCAGCACCATGCACGTCGAGTCACCCAAATTAGCAACGCCCAGCCGCTGACCTGCACACACCACACACACGCCATACCATACCATACCAAACCACACACACAAAAAGAGAAATCCGCGTCTGCCTGGGTGGGGTGGGTAAGGTGGTCGTGTGTGTGAGAGGTGACGTGAGGTGTACCTCGCTCGTCGAGGCATGCGACGAGTGCGGTGCTTGAGCCAAAGGCTGTGGTTGTTTCATAGCCCTGAGACAGGATGTTCTGTGCACGCTGAGACGGCACACCTGCACACACACACACACACACGCAAGGCCACCCATGCGCACCCATGTGTGTGGGGTGGGGGCGGTTGGGAGCTGGTCAACTGACTGACTGACAGACTGACTGACCGTCCGGCGCGTTGTCGATGGAAGACTTGGCGCATCCGCGCATGAGTTGTTCGGCGAACAGCCGAGGGTTGAGACCAAACGAGTCCCACTCACCCACTCCGTCAGCAACGCCCATGCAACCAGTCGCAGGGCTGATCAGATAGATAGAGGGAGAGCGACGTGGTGTGTAGGTGGGATGGGTGTGTTGATGTCTGTGTGTCAAGCCTACAGGTAGAAGAACGCGTCGGCGCCGCCCGTGGCGGCCTTGTCGGGATGGGGAATCATGAACCCTGAGAGCGAGCGATGGCACACAAACACCACACCACACCACACCACACCATGTCATGTCATGAGAGGAGAGGAGAGGCGGCCCCCCGTCTCGATCCCATCATCGTGGAGTGGACGTACCTCCGCACAGCAGTCTCAGGTCGGTGGTGGCGCGCACGTTGGGCAGCTGCAACTCCTGCAGGTAGGCAGGCAGGCAGGCATGAGCCACACCCCCACAGCACAGCACAGCGCAGCACAGAGGGTTGATGCAGAAAGGTTGGGTGTCCGTCCTTCCACTGCCACTGCCACTGCAGCTGGTGGCTGGTGTGCTGTGTGTGTGAGCTGAGTGCCTGACTGCCTGACCAGGTATATGTCCGGTGAGTGGAGGTGTTCCATGACGGCCACCGGCCACCCGGTCACACTCATCGACGCAACGCGGCGCAACCTGCACACACACAACACACACGGGCGCACAACAAACCGATGGACGTTTGTTGTGTGTGTTGTGTGTGTGGTGTGGTGCTGTAGCATTCTAGCATACGTCTCTGGGTCTCTCTCTTGTGTGGCGAGTCCGTTCTCTGAGAGAGATCTGGGCATGTTGCCGTGGGCGTCGTCATGGAGCTCGCCCTCCTGCGATATCAGAGACTCACTGTCGTCAGTGCCATACGGAACTGCCAAATGCGGACCTGACACAGACAGACCATTGCAAAGCATCGCACAGCGTCAGCGTCTGTGTGTGTGGCTTGTGTGGTTCGGTCGGTCGGTCCGTCGGCTGGCTGGCTGGCTGGCTGCCCACCTACCATGTCCGCCGTGGTGTGGGTGTGGGGTTTGGTACTCCTGCAGTTCGGCCATCTCCTTGCCTATGCTGTTGCCGCGCTTCATGCCCAATATGTCAGGGTCCTCTGCACCGACACACAAGAACACAAGACATCACACGAGTGAGTTGTGGGCAGGTAGGTGTGTGGAGTGAGTGGATGTGGGTCTCAGGTGTGGGTGTGTCTGTGTGTATGCACCCGAGGTAGAGATTCTGGGGTGTCTGTTGTGGTCGTCGGCGGGCCCCGCCGGGCGGGGGCTGCCCGTCACACTGTAACGACGATGCGAATCTATCGAACTCTGAAAAACCGGCCAGACCAGATCAACCGATCGTAACACACATACACAAGACCGAATGAGTGCGTGTCTGTCTGTGAATCTGAGAGTGTGTCAGAGTTCATTCATACCTTTGGCGGTGCGCTATGCTCGTGTGGCGGCAGTGGGAGTGAGGGCGGGATGACACTGCCGCCGCCCCCGCCGCCCGCTGCTGCCGCGGCGGCGGCAGAGGATGAAGCATGGATGGAGGTGGGGCCACCGGCGGCCTGCTGCTGGTTGTTGTTCTGGTGCTCGTCCTCTGCCCACCGCCGCGAACGCTTCTTCAACAGACCTGGATGCACTATCAACACGTTGTTTGGGTTCCCCTGGTTGTCCTGCACACCCACATCCATCACATCACATCACACCACGTGTATGCCTGGGTGGGCAGTGCGGGCACTGCTCTGCCGTGGGTACGTTCGTTAGTTACGTACGTTTTGCTGTGGCATGGATTCGTCGCAGTGCCACACGCCGTCGACGACATACTTGAACTGGTAGAGGCCGGGCCGCACCCCCGGCAGGGCCTCTTGCAGCGACAACCAAAACACTCCAGTGCTGGGCCAATGAAGGATGGGATGGATGAATGGATGACGATGACACACGTCAAACACAACACAACACAGTGAGAGAGGTGCAGAGAGAAGCGTGTGTGTGTGGATGGATGGATGGATAGATGCCTAGATACCTAGGGCACTTGAAGAGTGGGAGTCTGGCCCCCCAAGGGGGGTCGGTGAAGGCCCCCGCCACCTCGACGTAGTTGCCCGCCATCACCCACTTCAACACTATGTCATTCCGACTAGATAAAGCACACACAACAGACAGACAGACAGACGATACACCGACAGTGTCTGTCTGTGTTGGTGCCTGCGGCTGTGTGACGGCGCCCCAATCCCTCACTGAACTGACCCCGTGTCGGGCAAGAGTCGGATGCGCGCAGTTTTGGCCGAGGGACTGCCGCCACCCCCAGGACTCCCACCGTACTCACTCCCTGACGAAAGACACGATCAACCACATTCACACACGAACGGCATCCATCGGGTCTTGCCCCACTCGGCCCTGCCCGCCCTCGTACGTGACTTCCGTCCTTACCCGAGTTGCGCGAAGATGTGATGCTGCCTGTCGAGCTCGTACCCGCCGTGGTCGACGCATCAGTACCTGAACAGTCAGCACAACATAGATATATGACATGGCACAACACAACACATGCACCGGGATCTGTCATGAGTTGCGCTGGGTCACCCACCCACCTCTGGAGGTCTGTGGTTGCTGGTCGTGTGGAGCAGTGAGCTGTGCGCAGGGAGGCGGGGCGGACGGGGGAGGGGCCGACACAGGGGACGCAATACGACCCGCAACTGACAACCGACACACAAACACACAAACGAAACAAACCAACGAACAAGCGGGAGTCAGTCGAGCCAGCATGGCCATGTCTGCCTGCACGGCCCACCCACCCCATCCCCAACCTGCCGGCGAGGCGATGCATACCTTGTGCTGACGCCTGGAGTGGCTGTGCAGGTGCTCCAGTGCGCAGGAATGTGGGCGTCAGCTTCTGGTCTTCAAGGGTCTCCGAGAGGCCCTTATACCCTCGCCCTTCCGCTTGCTCGATCCACAACTTGGCTCTAGCCAGACTCTGACCACACAGACAGACAGACAGTCAGACAAGCCGCTGTGTCGTCGATCGGGTCAGCCACCACCCATCGGTGGGTCCTCCTCTCCCTCCCTCCCTCCCTTCCTCCCTCCCCTGTGCCTGTCTGTTTGCCTGTCTGTCTGTCCGTCTGCCTGTGCGCAAAGTGACTTGAGGTGACTCGTTGACTGACCTGCTCCCGTGAAGGCGCCCTTTCGCGCCTGCTCGCCTCAAGTCGCCGCCTCTGCTCCCCCCTCCGCATGAGACGGTAGCCGCAGATTGCCCACTGCTGCATCCATCAAAACATCAATCGACAACACACATCCCATCGCATCACATCCACAGCCACCCCCCACTCCACACAGCACAGCACAGCACGGACAGGACCGGACGGCCCAGCCCGCCCCACACACGAAGCACACACGAGGGAGGGAATTCCCCTCCCTCCACCGACCCCCTCGGTGTGCTTGTGCCCCCCTGACCCTCCCGTGGTGGTTACCGTGATGTGGTCCGGGAATCCGGTCTCATTGGCCATGTGTAGGAACAAACTCCTGGCGATACGCGAAGAGGGGTCCTCGGGGCGGCAAGTGGGAGGCCTGGTCGGCAGGGGCGGGTTGTCGGGCAAATGCTGTGGCATCATGCTGAAGGGTGGACTCTATCTCAAGTACAGCACCAGGCTCTGCTTGGGGGACGCTGGGGCGTCGCTGCTTGTGCCGATTGGAAGCCTGTTTTCCCGCATCCGATCTGCGAGCTTCGAGCAAGCAGTGAAGAGGACGATGTTCTTCACGGCACGTGCTGAAGGGTTCTCCTGCCCGTCCTAGTATCGCTACCACGGTTCTATATCTGTCATGTTTTGATGCTGAAGGTCCGCTGACACCGGCAGCATGCATCTCGATTCAGCATCATTGTGCGTCATATCCGTGGCCCTCCTGCTGCCCCTCCGCACCGCCTCGTACCGCCCTCCGAGTCCCCACTCACTCACGACGTCCTTGACCCGCTCGCCATCTCCCATCAGGAAGGGCATGCGCAAGCAGAGCGGCAGACCGGCCCTACGAGCGGCGGTTGGGAGATCTGCGGTGGACCTGACCAAGCCACCACCAGCCAGAGTGTCGCTGCCGATTGCCATCCCCATGCCCAGCAGCGCACCCACTCTCGCCAACGGGGACTCAAGTGGTGGTGCCGCTGGCGGCCTGGTTGACCTGAGGAGGGTGGACTGTGAGCGGGCGGTGCGGGACCAGATCACGGCTTGCAAGGACGTCCCGTCGTTTGCAGTGTTTGTCGACGAGCGTCTGGACGAGCTGCGACGGGCAAGGTGGTGGTGTTTTTGTCGTGGAATGAGGTGCTCGACATCCTGTGCTTTGCGCTGCGGAAGAAAACCCTCCCATTCGTCAGATATGGGGGTGAGTGAGTGGACCGACCGACCGACTAACAGAGAGAGCGAGACAGAGAGGGATGGCAGGCAGGGGCATGTCTTGTGTGTGCGGTTGGACTGCAGGGAGTACTCGAGCCAAGAGGGAGGAGTCGCTGAGGGCCTTCCTGCTCAACCCTGACATCCGCGTGCTCGTCTGCAACCTACACGTACACACCAAACCACACCAGACCAGACAGACACCATCACGCTCTTGTCCATGTCCCTCTGTCCCTCTGTCTGTCTGTCTGTCTGTCTGTCAGCACGCCGGTCGTGGGCTGACCCTCACGGTGGCCAACCACGTGGTCCTGCTGGAGCCGCAGCTGAGTGCAGCCGACGAGGAACAGGCCGTTGGCCGCATCTACCGGATGGGCCAGAGGCGCCAATCACACGTCTGGCGCTACTTCATCGCCGACACCATCGAAAGACGCATCAAGGACTTCACCAGCACCCCGGCTGCTGCTGCTTCCGGGGGGAATGACGAGCCGACTGGGGGCGATGAAGACGACAATGGCGGCATGACGATGACGCGTCGGCGGATGTCTGTGTCCAAGAAGGGCGTGGGGGCCGCCGGGTCCCAGGCGGCACAGAACCCCGCCAGACATCTCAAGCAACAGGTGTGTATGTTTGCACCAGGAGTGAAGCAGCATAAAGGAAAGAAATATCCCTTGCTGCTCATCTGTGGTGTCTGTCAGTGGTTCACCTACGAAGACCTTGAGATGCTCTTCGGCCGCAACGACGTCGGACCACTCATGCCACCACCAGAAGAGCTACCATGCTCCTCCTCGTCTTCGTCTGCTGCTGCTGCTGCGGCAGCTTCTCCTCCATTGCCAGCAGCAGCAGCAGCAGCAGCAAATCCGTTCTCGTCGACGGGCATGCAGGAGGTGGATGGCCGTCGCGTGGTCGGTCGCGATGAGGAGAGTGAGGAGGAGGGCGACACCCCTCTGCAGCCGGGGGGCTCCGCGGCCCTGTGGGAGCCGGACTGTGAGTATGGAGACGACCTGCTCATGATGATGGGCGGCTGACGAAGCGACACATACACACACATGCATGCTTTGATCAGATCGGTGGTTTAAGCCTTCTTTGTATTGTGTTGGTGTCGATTATCTGTGTGTGTCTATGGTGGCCTCCTTGTCTGTCTGTCTGTCTGTCTATCTTTCGTTCGTGTGTGCCGTGCCGCTGTGCTCTTTATGGGTTATGAGTGGATGGCTGGGTGTGTGTGCTGTGTGCATTTAGAGGGGAAGGAGTGACTGACACAGGTAGTTGGTTAGTTACTTACAGATAGATGGGTCCGTGTAGTAGTCTAGACAGCTACCGCGGGATGGCCCTCTACAGGGAGGGAGGGAGGGAGGGAGGGGAGGGGGGGGGGGGCACAGCACGAGACCATTCAAGAAGGTCACGTCAGGAAGTCACTATAAGTGCCTGTCAGATAATGATGTGTGTCGTCAGTCAATTTGACGCGCTCTGTGGGTGAGTGAATGCATTCCTTATGTGTGCCAGTCAGTCAGAGGACGACAGACAGACAGACGTACACATACAGACCCATCATGACATCAATCAACCGACTGGGCAACGACCGGCGATCCATGCCATGCAGCAGCAGCAGCAGCGTCCAAGCCTGTCACCCACCCATCCCATCCCATCCCACTCTCTCTCTCTCCCCTCAAAGTGACAAGCAAGTAAAAACACAGCCAGGCCACTGGCGGCCAGGCCAGGTCTGTACAGGTCGGTCGGTCATTACAATGAAGTCAGTGGTTGGTCCATCCATTAGCCCCGCCGCAGCACTCACTAGCACGCCACGCCCTCTCGCTGGTATGTATACCTACACACGACACGGATGGCCATATGCGATCGATGCGCCCCATCCCTCTATTGCAATCCGTGTGTGCCTCCCCCCCGAGGCGAACGCGACAGCCAAGCCACGTGACAGCGGGTTGTTCCGTTGTCACGTCTGTCGCACGCCGCCGCGGGAAGCAAGCAGTGACACGTTCTGCGCAGAACCCGTAGCCTTACACTTCACAAGACCGACCGCTCTTGTCCATGTCCATCTGTCTGCCTGTCTGTCTGTCTGTTTGGGTATGTATGCCGCCGGCTACCATCCATCCATCCATGTGGTGAGTGTGCTTGTGGGGGTTGGGCCAGGCGTCATACCCGAGCCGCTCGAGGCCGCACCGCAGCCACTCGTGCAGCATAGGCTGCCCACAGACACACACCAAAAGCACGCACACGAGTCACACACCCTCCCCCACTGCGGGCGTGCAGGCACGAATGTTCGTCTTGCTCATCCGTCTGTCTGCACACAGATATCCACCAGGTACCTGCACACACGACACACACACGGAAGTCCCTCCCTCCCTCCCTCCAGTCTCTGCTTCTCTGTCTGCCGTCTTACCATCCGTACTCGATTTCCTTGCTCCTCGTCAATCGGTGACGGTGCGGCTCAGCCCCAAACTCTCCCTGTAGTCCTCCACCTTCAACCTCATCTTCTCTTCGTACTCCTCGATCTCCCTCTTGTTCTTCTTCTCGAGATACCTAACCCTCGCTGAAACGGTCAGCCAGATCGCGGTAGACGTGACGGCGACCCACACGACGAACACGCGAAAGTCATCGAGGCCGAACCACTTAAACAGCGAGTCGACGGCGTCGATGGCGGTATCGGGAGGCGTTGGCGTGCGCCTATCCTGGGACTCCCGCATTTGCTGCAGCTGCTCCTCGAGTGCCTTGATGCGTTCATTGGCCGTCCGAGCGTCCTCTTGTGAGCGGCGAAAGTCGTCCATGGCCTTCTGGAGCTCCTCGGTAGGCGGAGCCTTATGGCTGGTGCTCACATGACGGCGAAGGGACAGCACAGAGGTGGGCGGTGGCTCGAAGATACGCCCTGGCCGGACGACACGGAGGAAGCGGAA